GACTCATGGCTGCTGCCTGTCCTTCCTTCCCTGCAGCTTCGGTCCAGGGAGCCCCAAAGGAGGTGGTGAACCCCTCTACTGGGCGTGCCAGTCTCCTGGAGTCCATCCGCCAGGCCGGTGGCATTGGGAAGGCCAATCTCCGCAGCGTCAAGGAGAGGAAGCTGGAGAAGAAGAAGCAGAAGGAACAAGAACAAGGTACTGAGGCTTTTTGACAGCCTGTCCTTCCTTCCCTGCAGCTTCGGTCCAGGGAGCCCCAAAGGAGGTGGTGAACCCCTCTACTGGGCGTGCCAGTCTCCTGGAGTCCATCCGCCAGGCCGGTGGCATTGGGAAGGCCAATCTCCGCAGCGTCAAGGAGAGGAAGCTGGAGAAGAAGAAGCAGAAGGAACAAGAACAAGGTACTGAGGCTTTTTGACAGAAGTGGTCTTCCTTGCTCTCTGCCCCAGGCCCAGGGGGTGCAGGTTTGGGTGGAGTCAAGCAAGCCAGGACCACAGTGAACAGAGAGAGTGGAAAGGCAGGGTCTCTCCTGACTGGCTGGTGTAGGTCTGTTTCCCATTCAGCCAAAGCTCTGTGAACTTGCTGAACTCCATCTGCCAGAAGGGCATTTGTGTTCTTCATGGAGACCTGCTCTGTCTCAGGGTAGGTGTAGAAGTTGCATGTGTGTGGTCACACAAAGGAGAGCCTGAGGCCAAGAGGGGCATGGCTGACACAGTTTGAGCATGTTGGTTTAGGTAGCTGGGGAGGGTAGCGATGGAGTTGGTTTGGCAGAATGAGACCACAACTGCCCCAGCCACTCCTGCCCCTCAAGGAATTCCTCTTGGATTTCCCTAGAAGATGCTGTTACCCTGCAGTGCCTGTTCTTTTCCTGCCCTGAAACTGGACTATAGTGGGAGAGATGAGAGGTGTGATACAAGATCAGAGTTGTGCTTGCTTGTTTTCCTTTAACCTGAAGGCAATATTGTAGGAGAACACTTTTGCTGAAGTGCTGGGGTCAGACTGACGCTTCTTGTCTGACTTGTTTTGCTCTGTTTCAGTGAGAGCTACGGGGCAAGGTGGAGATTTGATGTCGGACCTCTTCAACAAGCTGGTGCTGAGGCGCAAAGGTACCATCCTGCAGGCTGGGCGGCTCCTTCCCCCTCTCTGGCACCGCAGCCATGTCAGCCCCAGCCCTTAGAAAGGGGAACAGACACTTTCCCTGGCAAGGGTGCCACGGCAGGGCCAGGAATGTCTTTACAGAGGGTGAGCAGAGGAGTCTGCACCTCAAGTCCCGCTGGAAGGCAGTGTCATCCCTGGAGGAGGTGTGGACTTGCTCAGGTGGAGCTTTAGTGAAATGAGCCCTTGGCACTGAGCTGTGGTGGCCGTTCTGCTTGCCTGGGCCACCAGGGTGCTGGGAGCACTGGTTTCAGGAGTGGTTTTCCCGCACTGACTTTGCTGAGCCCCTGTGTTCTCGTCCCTAGGTGTCACTCACTCAGGTGCTTTTCCTTCCCTCACAGGTATTTCGGGGAAGGGGCCGGGAGCCTCCGCCAATGCCGATGCTTCCGCCAGTCCTGTTGGGGCCTTCGCTCGCATGTCGGACTCGATACCGCCTCTCCCACCCCCCCAGCAGCCTGCGGGCGAGGAGGACGAGGATGACTGGGAGTCTTAGGTGGGGCCAGCCGAGTGGCAGCGTGGCTCCCAGGACTCTTGACCTACGCACTTTGGAGAGACACAAGCCTGTGGCAGTACCACCTGGAAGGTGGCCAGTGGCATCTGGCATGGCAGGAGACCCTGTCGTTTCTTTTTGAAGAGTGGAAGAGGAGACAACCCCTGCTGAGGTTACAGTTATCAGTGAGGGTTTTCCTTCTGCTCTCTGCTATTCTCCACCCCAGATACTACATTCCATCTCAAACGCTGCTGCTGCAATCAGTCCTGCCTTAGCTGGCAGTCAGTGGGGCAGCCTGTGCTTGGAGGATCAACACTAGCGTTGCTCCTGATGTAAAGGGCCTTCAGTCTTTCCTCATGTGACTGGTGATGACTGCAGGAGCAGCTCTTGCAGGCAAGCAGCCCTTGCCTCATTTGTCTCCTTGCTTGCTGAAGCTCCCGTTTGCTTGGTGGTTGCTACAAGAGAGAATGAGAGAGTGTCCCTTCACAGAGATCTAACTCCTGGTGCCTCTGCACTTGGTTTTTCTTTACCTGGCTGATGGTAATTTGTTGCTGTCTGAGAAATTTCAATAAAGTTGAAGGAGCAGGTCCTTGCAGCCTTCACTTTGGTAAAAGCGGGACACCTGCCCACTCGCACCTCAGGCAGGGGCAGCCTTACAACCCCAGTGCTGGAGGGCACCAGCTGTCCCAAGCAAGGGGTCCCCCGCTCCCACATGCAGTGGTGTTAAGGTAGAGCTTGTGCCAGATGTTGGGGGGTGGAGAGGGGGGCTCTGCACCCACCAAGTGGCAGGAGATTCGAATGGACTTTTCTCAGAAGCAGCTGCTGTTCCTGTGGAGCTAATTAACATGAAGGAGTAGGTACTACCAGCTCTGTGTCTTTGTACTTTCTTCATCGTGAAGAGCCTTGAGAGGCAGCATCCAGCTGCTGAAACTGGCAAGGAGGCAAAATAGCTACTGAGAAGACTTGCTCGGGATGACAGAAAGAGCTGGGGACAGCTGTGTAAATTCCACAATTCCTATTGTTAGTGGTATCCTCCATTACTACCCTATGACCTAGGAAAGAAGCCAAAGAAAGTTATGCTAAAAAAAATAAAATAAGTTTTTACTCTTTTCTACTGGGAGTTACTTTGAATTCAAAAAGCTAGGCAGTAAAAGAAGAAGAACAATCCTGTGCGTAAGTGTGATGCAAGGAGAAGTGTATTGCAGTCATATATTACCCTTCAAAGAATGAACAGCTCCTTCAACATGTTGCCTGCTTGAAGCAAGGTAGAAGGGAAGGGGATAAGAAATGCTGCCCCATGTCTTAGCAGTCTGACTGTGTAATTCCAACACAATGCAAACTAATGGCCTGATAGTTTATAATTCTTGTGAAAAGCTCTATGTTTTCATTGGTTGTCAAGCTCCCTACATGGGGTGGTTGATGGCAAAAGGCAATTGTATTCAGTCAGAATAATTATACTCCCCTTACTGAAGCATTTGGGTTGAAAACATTTATTCAGTTTAAATAAAACCTTAACAGCTGTAAACAAGTAGGAGCCTGCCACTACTACCTTCACCTGCCTCAGACCTACAACCAGTTTCCCTCCTGGGACTGGTGCTGAAGACCAGCTCACCATAACAGCGCTCAGACACTGAACAGCAAACATCCAGAGGAGGCAGAGGTGAAGATTCACAAACTCCTTGGTACAGAAAAACAGGAACTTGTGTTGCTCCAGGTGTTCTTCTGGTAGCTTACAGAGCTGACCTACAGCCTGTTCTCTGGCCCACATCACAAAGCATCCGACTTCCCTCGATGGAACTAGGAAGGCACAAAACCAGACAGTTTGTCCCTGGCCTTACTCTAAGTAAAGGTTTGAGAAAGGCACAGACAAGTACAGCAGGAAACCGTTTCAGTAGCAACATGTAAGATAGGAGTTCTGACCTTTCTTAACTCTGCAAACGCTGCTCCGAAGGCAGGTTTCACCTGGGTTCTCTCCCTGATCCACTGTGGCAGCTTGTTGAAGGTGGCAGGGCGTGCATAGCGGTGGTCCAGGAGCAGGATGCTTGCAAAGTCCTTCTGATGGCGAATGGCTCTGCCTGCACAGAGCGTACAACCACATTAAAGTGCCTCACTCAGGTATTTGTTCTCAGGCAAGGGAGCTCGTGTTCCCATCGTCTGTACCAAGTGGTAGCGCATCCTTTTCCCCACCCTTCTGCTTCAGTGCAGTCACACTTCATATCCCCCAGCCTGGCCAAGGAAGGACAAATTACCTATCGACTGGTTTACTGACTTCATGCACAGGTTTTCAATCAGCACTCTGCTAGGTGCCTGGCCAGCAGCTCTGGGCTGGAAGGAGAAATAGGAAAGACTGAACATGAGGCAGAGTAAAACCAACCTAGGGAGTCTTAATGACAAAGTGAGGAAAGTACTTTTACCCCTGCAGAGTGAGTGGGTGGCCAAGCAGACCCTAAGCTGAGAGGAAGGAGGGACAGAAGAAAGGCTGCAGTCAGAAGACTATGTTGAGCATTCATGAAGGGCCAGCCCAAAGTCCCCTTGAAGGCAGAAAACTTGTCCCTGGCTGCCCAGGAACAGTATCTTCAGTGGGCAGAGAGAAAGAAAAAGTGAGCCGAGAGCTTAAGTGATCCTGGCAAGCAGCTTCTACCACCCTGCCACCTCCTCTGGGGTGAAAGGACCTTGCTCCCCTTGGAACTTAAGAGTCCCCAGCAAGCCTGGTGGTGTTTCCCTCTACTGAGCTTCTTCCTTGTGCTTAGGGACACTTGTACACATGCAGCATGGAGAAGGCTGTGCCCTTGATACCACACAGTCTGGGAACCAAGGAAAAAGGAAAAAGGAAAAAGGAAAAAGGAAAAAGGAAAAAGGAAAAAGGAAAAAGGAAAAAGGAAAAAGGAAAAAGGAAAAAGGAAAAAGGAAAAAGGAAAAAGGAAAAAGGCAGCCCTGGAATTCACATGCTGGGAGTGAAGTTAATACTAAAAAGCAGAAGTGAAACAGGGAGAGGTGTGTCTCTGTTACCATGGTTTTGTCAAGCCAAGTCATTTTTTCCTGGAGCTCTGGAGATTTAATGTTGGGGTAAGGCATTCCCACCATAATCACACACCTGCAAGGGAGGAACTGCATTACTCTCAGTGTCTCATCCTAGAGCACTTTGCCAACAGACTGATAAATCAGAGGCCACTGCACCCCTGAAAGGCAGCCAGCCCTGAAAACCAAAGGCAGCAGTAAAGCACAGCAGCCTGACAAGCACATTCTGAACAGAAAGCTGCCAGAAGAAGGAGCAGCTAGCACAGCAAGCCTCACAAGCCTCACTGCAGCCCTCATGTGCATGCGGTCCGGACAAGCGGGTTCTGCTCAAACCAGCAGGACCAAGCCTGCTGGGTGCTGCATCAGCACGAGCCACATGCTCCCCAGGATTTTCTGTCTGACGTGTCCATCCCACCTGGAGTCACCACAGCACAACCCCAGTGCTCACCTACCAAGGAGCAGCCTCCTTACCTTCCCAGGTCATCGGAGAAGTTGATCCCTTCGCTCATCTTGCCCCCAACGACAGAAAGCAGCAGGGCCCCCGTCATCTGTCCTCCTGCCTGGCTGCAGCGCTGCAGCAGAGGGACCAGCAACTCAGCCCAGAGCAGGGAAGGTCTCGGTGCTTCAGCAACGCTCCCGAGACCAGGCCAGAGCCCTCTTCCCTTGCTCAAAGCTGCACTGCCCTCTTCAGCAGCATGCCCATCCCACCAGCCTACCAGCTCAGCTTACCTTGATGCACTTGGCATATTCCACCAGCACCTGCTCCACCTGGCTGGCTTTCTTCGGCTCCTGAAAGATCTGTCACAGGCACAGCATGTCAGTGGCAGTGGGAAGCAAACAGTTTAGAGCAAGCAAATCGTTTTACTCCCATGCCATTAAACAGCACACAGAACTAAGGGCAGGGATGGGCAAATTGCCTGAAAACCAACTGAACCAGCACCTTTCCCCCCCACCCTGGAAACACACCACATGCTCACTACAGCACTTTTCAGCTGGGTGGGGAAGGGAGCAGCAGCTGCTCCAGCCCCTCCAACATTCCCTTTAAGCTTTGGCAGACTTGTCTTATTCTGCAAGAAGTTGCAAGTCATCTGAGAGCTGAAAGGCAGGGAAGCAACGTGCACCTCTTCCACCTATGAACTGGTGGGGTGAGGAGGCCCTCCAGCTGCAAGGTCTTGGAAGACAATGACAGGACCAATCAATTTGAGTTACCAATTCCAAGTAATTCCTCCCCTTGCCCAGTGAATAAATTAGTTTTCTATGCAAAGCATACATACAGTAATATTTCTTTATGTTATTCTAGCATGCCTAATTAGTTACTGAAAGCCTCTGCAGTTAATTACGCTGTATTTTGACAGATGCTGCACCTTGGCCTAAATCACAAGTTGTTTTCCTAGTAAGTGAGCGTGCAATGTGTCTTTTCTGTGACAGTAAAGAACCTAAAGGATGTGTTTGCGTTTGGTTAGCAAGGAGTACTGTCATATTCTACCAGCCAGAAACAGTCTCAGCAGAAGAATAACTGGCAATTACAAATATAAGCCCAAACTATTTAACTTATTAAACAGTAGCTACTTAATAATCCAATTTAAAGTAATTTTTCCTGTGTAACATACATAATTTCACCACAGGCACCTCATGAAAGACTAACCTTCCTCTGCTATGATATGATCTTGGGTGTGGGCAGCTGAAAGTCACACTGGCTGCTCTTCTACCAAATTGCTTTGCTAACGTGTCTCAAATTTGCTGGAGACTGCAAAAGCCTAACAAGAACAAATCAGAGTTGAAAGGCAGCACAAGCTGCGTGATCATGGCACAAAGCCTTGGAGGCACTGGGCAGGCCACTGGGACCCTGACAGGAGACACCTGAAAGGCACTGAGAGTGACAGCTGCACAAACACGTGGAGAAGCTGAAGCATAATGCTTCCACCACAGAGACCTACAGGCAGCTCTGTGTGTGAGGATGCCTGCACCAAGGCTCTGAAACATCT